GAGACGATAGGGATGGGAGGGATGAGTCGGTCGAGAGGGATGAGATGAGCGGGAGCGACGGGGCCTCAATGAGGCGTGGGAGGGCAATGATGGATGAAGAAGGATGAGAAAGGGATTAAAGGGATGCGTTGGACGGGAGGGACGTCGGGAGGAGAGGGGCGGGGGGGGCAGGATGGGGCGCGATGAGATTGTATGGAGCGAGAGAAACGACGGGGACTGGGTCGAGAAGAACGCCGCACGATTCACTCGCAGTCGCATTAAGTGAAGATGTGAAAACCCAAAAAGAGCATTTTGCCTTCGGCGCGGAAGATGGACGTGGAGCTGATGGGCTTGTGACTAAACCTGGTTACCACTGACTTACACACATATATCTTGTACATAGTACTCACGTAAAGAACCACAGGGATACATAGAGTCCCATAGACTCACATAGAGACCAATAGACTCACATAGATACCAGTGGACTCATATAGAGACCCATAGACTCACGTAGAGACGCATAGACTCACATAGTGAGCCGTAGACTCACATAGAGACCCGTAGACTCACAGAGTCCTGTAAACTCGCATAGAGACCCATAGAATCACATAAAGACCCGTAGACTCACATAGAGAACCCATAGACTCACATAGAGACCTGTAGACTCACATAGAGACCCGTAGACTCACACAGAGACCAGTAGACTCACATAGAGACCCTTAGACTCACACAGAGACCCGTAGACTCACATAGAGACCAGTAGACTCACATAGAGACCCGTAGACTCACACAGAGGCCCATAGACTCACATAGAGACCCATAGACTCCCATACAGACCCATAGACTCACATAGAGACCAGTAGACTCACATAGAGACCTGTAGACTCACATAGAGACCCGTAGACTCACACAGAGACCAGTAGACTCACACAGAGACCAGTAGACTCACACAGATACCCGTAGACTCGCATAGAAACATATATACTCGCACAGAGACCCGTAGACTCACATAGAGACCTGTAGACTCACATAGAGACCAGTAGACTCACATATAGACCAGTAGACTCACATAGAGACCAGTAGACTCACACAGAGACCAGTAGACTAACACAGAGACCAGTAGACTCACACAGATACCCGTAGACTCGCATAGAAACATGTAGACTCACACAGAGACCCGTAGACTCACATAGAGACCAGTAGACTCACATAGAGACCAGTAGACTCACACAGAGACCCGTAGACTCACATAGAGACCAGTAGACTTACACAGAGACCAGTAGACTCACGTAGAGACCCATAGACTCACACAGAGACCAGAAGACTCACATAGAGACCCGTAGACTGACATAGAGACCAGTAGACTCACATAGAGACCAGTAGACTCACACAGAGACCAGTAGACTCACATAGAGACCCGTAGACTCACATAGAGACCAGTAGACTCACACAGAGACCAGTAGACTCACATAGAGACCCGTAGACTCACATAGAGATGCGTAGACTCACACAGTGACCCGTAGACTCACCCAGGGACCCGTAGACTCACATAGAGCCCAGTAGACTCACACTGAGACCAGTAGACTCACATAGAAACCCGTAGACTTACATAGAGACCCGTAGACTCACGCAGAGACCTATAGACTCACTTAGAGACCCGTAGACTCACATAGAGACCAATAGACTCACATACAGACCAGTAGACTCACATAGAGACCAGTGGACTTACATAGAGAACAGTAGACTCACATAGAGACCAGTAGACTCACACAGAGACCAGTAGACTCACATAGAGACCCGTAGACTCACACAGAGACCAGTAGACTCACATAGAGACCCGTAGACTCACATAGAGACCAGTAGACTCACACAGAGACCAGTAGACTCACATAGAGACCCGTAGACTCACATAGAGACCCGTAGACTCACACAGTGACCCGTAGACTCACCCAGAGACCCGTAGACTCACACAGAGACCAGTAGACTCACATAGAAACCCATAGACTTACATAGAGACCCGTAGACTCACGCAGAGACCTATAGACTCACTTAGAGACCCGTAGACTCACATAGAGACCAATAGACTCACATACAGACCAGTAGACTCACATAGAAACCAGTGGACTTACATAGAGAACAGTAGACTCACATAGAGACCAGTAGACTCACACAGAGACCCGTAGACTCACACAGAGACCAGAAGACTCACATAGAGACCCGTAGACTGACATAGAGACCAGTAGACTCACATAGAGACCAGTAGACTCACACAGAGACCAGTAGACTCACATAGAGACCCGTAGACTCACATAGAGACCAGTAGACTCACACAGAGACCAGTAGACTCACATAGAGACCCGTAGACTCACATAGAGACCCGCAGACTCACACAGTGACCCGTAGACTCACCCAGAGACCCGTAGACTCACATAGAGACCAGTAGACTCACACAGAGACCAGTAGACTCACATAGAAACCCGTAGACTTACATAGAGACCCGTAGACTCACGCAGAGACCTATAGACTCACTTAGAGACCCATAGACTCACATAGAGACCAGTAGACTCACATAGGCACCCGGAGACTCACATAGAGACCCATAGACTCCCATAGAGACCCATCGACTCACATAGAGACCAGTAGACTCACATAGAGACCCGTAGACTCACATAGAGACCAATAGACTCACATAGAGACCGGTAGACCCGTAGACTCACATAGAAACCAGTAGACTCACATGGAGACCAGTAGTCTCACGTAGAGACCCGTAGACTCACACAGAGACCCGTAGACTCACATAGAGACCAGTAGACTCACACAGAGACCAGTAGACTCACGTAGAGACCCATAGACTCACACAGAGACCAGAAGACTCACATAGAGACCCGTAGACTCACATAGAGACCCGTAGACTCACACAGAGACCCATAGACTCACACAGAGACCAGTAGACTCACATAGAGACCCGTAGACTCACATAGAGACCCGTAGACTCACACGGAGTGACTTGTGATAAAAACCGGGTTCTCAAGCGTAGTGAGGTGATGGTCTCAGTCCGGTCAAAGGTCCCCCGTGTAGCCTTCACAGACTGTTGAGGCCAGAACCCCACGCCCAACCGCCTTTGTCTCCCCCAGTGGCGATATTTACACATCGCAGCAGATACTCATTTGAGGCTGAGTCGACCTAGCGGAGGTCCAGGACCGTTACAGGTAATCGTCACCGGTGCTGGTGGTGGTTCGTAGTGCAGCGCAGCGCTAATAACCACTGCACTACCGCCTCCCGCCCACCACACACAAGACACACAACAAACAAAACACACACACACACATCATACACACACCACACACACATCCACACACACACACCACACACATCATACACACACCACACACACATCCACACACACCACACCACACACATCCACACACCACACACATCCACACACACCACGCACACATCCACACACACCACACACATCATACACACACCACACACACACCACACACACACCATACACACACCACACACATCATACACACACCACACACACACCACACGCACACCACTCACACACCACACATACACCATACACACACCACACACAGCACACACACACACCACACACACCACACACACACACCACACACACATCCACAAACACACACCACACATATCATACACACGCCACACACACATCCACACACACCACACCACAAACATCCACACACCACTCACATCCACACACACCACGCACACATCCACACACACCACACACATCATACACACACCACACACACCACACACACACCATACACACACCACACACATCATACACACACCACACACACACCACACGCACACCACTCACACACCACACATACACCATACACACACCACACACACCACACACACACACCACACACACAACACACACACACCACACACACACCACACACACACCACTCACACCACACACCACACACACCACACACACACACACCACACACACATCCACACACACACACCACACACATCATACACACACCACACACACATCCACACACACCACACCACACACATCCACACACCACACACATCATACACACACCACACACAAACCACACACACACCATACACACACCACACACATCATACACACACCACACACACACACCACACGCACACCACTCACACACCACACATACACCATACACACACCACACACACCACACACACACCACACACACCACACACACACACCACACACACCACACACACACCACTCACACACCACACACCACACACACCACACACACCACACACACACACCACACACACACACACCACACACACACCACACACACACACACCACACACACACCACACACACCACACACACACCACACACCACACACACACAGACCACCCACACACACCACACACACACCACACACACACACCACACACACACCACTCACACACCGCATACACCACACACACACCACACACACCACACCACACACACCACACACACACCACATCACACACACCACTCACACACACACCACACACACACCACACACACACCACTCACACACACACACACCACACACACACCACACACACACCACACACACCACACACACACACCACACACACCACACACACACCACACACACACCACTCACACACACACCACACACACACCACACACACACCACTCACACACACACCACACACACACCACACACACACCACTCACACACACACCACACACACATCACACACACACCACTCACACACACACCACACACACACCACACACACACCACTCACACACACACCACACACACACCACACACACACCACACACACCACACACACCACACACACACACCACACACACCAGCCCTCTCTCCGTTCGCCGCTTGGCTGCAGGCCCACGCCATTGGCTGCATGCTTGAGGGTTCGAGCGTGGCGATGGGGGGGGGAGGAGGAGAGAGGTGAGGGAGGGAGAAGAGGAGGAGGAGGAGACGGAGGAGGAGGAGACGGAGGAGGTGTGATCCTGGGATATAAACACAGGCGAGACGGCTGAGAAGCCCCGAGTAAAACCATCTCAGCCTCGTGACTGCCACGCCATCTCGGCACCAGAGCGACAATTTGTGACTCGCGTGGGCTGGTACGTGCGCGTGCGTGTGTGTATCTGTATCATTGTGTGTGTGTCTCCACTAGGGAGACAAAGGCGGCCGGGCGTGGTGGTGGTCACGACCTTGCGTGCAGTGCCGGTCTTTATCGGGGCTACTCGCTAACAGCACTTGGCCCTAGCAGTCTGTAAAGGCTATAGGGGGGATCTTTGTCTTTGTTATTGTGTGTATGTGTGTTCAAAGCATCCCTGTCTGTGTGTGTGTGCATGTCATAGTATCCGCGTGCCTGTGTGCGAGTGTGTGTGTGTGTCTGTAATAGTGTGGGGAGCGGTAGTGTAGCGGCATATACCAGTGACGATTATCTGAACCGGTCCTGGGCCTCCCCTAGGTCGACTCAGCCTCAAATGAGTATCTGGTGCGATGTGGGAAAAAAAATCGCCACTGGGGAGACAAAGGCGGCCGGGCGTGGTGCTGACCACCCACCCCCTCGTGTGCCGTGCCGGCCTTCATAGGTGCTCGCTAACAGCACTTGCCCCCAACAGTCTGTTACAGGCTACACGGGGGATCTTTGTAATTGTTTGTGTCATCGTGCGTGTGTGTGTGTGTTGTTGTGTGTGTGTGTTTGTGCGTGTGTCAAAGCGTCCGTGTCTGTGTGTGCGTGTCCTAGCATCCGTGTGCCTGTGTCCGAGAGAGTCTGTGTGTGTGTCTGTGTTCATGTGGGGAGCGGTGGTGCAGCGGTTAGCGCCACGCTGCGCTACGAACCCTGGCCGCCCGAGTTCGATTCCCGCTCAAGGCCACCAACACCTATCAGTGACGATTGTCTGAACCGGTCCTACGCGTCCCCTAGGTCGACTCAGCCTCAAACGAGTACCCGATGCGGTGTGTAAACATCGCCACTGGGGATACAAAGGCGACCGGGCGTGGTGTTGGCTACCGACCCCCGTCCTGTGCCGTTCTGGTCGTCATAGGCGCTACTCTTTAACAGCACTTGCCCCCATCAGTCTGTTACATTTCGGCGATACAGCGGATCTTTGTGCGTCTGCATGTGAACGTGTATCTGAATACGTATCTCAATGTGATGTTGTATATCACCTTGCATATCCGTCTGTTTCCGTAGGTGTATGTGTGTGTATGTGTGGGTGTGTGTGTGGGTGTGTGTGTGTGTGTGGGTGTATGTGTGTGTGTGGGTGCATGTGTGGGTGTGTATGTGTGGGTGTGTGTGTATGTGTGGGTGTATGTGTGTGTATGTGTGGGTGTATGTGTGTGTGTGGGTGTATGTGTGTGGGTGTATGTGTGGGTGTGTGTGTGTGGGTGTATGTGTGTGTGTGGGTGTATGTGTGGGTGTGTGTGTGTGTGTATGTGTGGGGGTGTGTATGTGTGTATGTGTGGGTGTATGTGTGTGTGTGGGTGTATGTGTGTGGGTGTGGGTGTATGTGTGGGTGTGTGGGTGTGTGTGTGTGGGTGTATGTGTGGGTGTGGGTGTATGTGTGTATGTGTGGGTGTATGTGTGCATGTGTGTGTATGTCTGTGGGTGTATGCGTGTGTGTGTATGTGTGTGGGTGTATGTAAAATATTGTATCCTTGTTCCGGACAATGCCTCCCAAGTTTTGGACGCTTGCACTTTCATCTTCTTGATTCTCTTTCGTTGAAGTCATGTAGAAGGGAAATAATAAAATAATAAAAATAAAACGTAATATCATGAAATTAACGACTGATTCACTCCGTCTATTACTCCGTGACGACGCTGTCTTTCCGACAGCTCTGTTTCTTCACCTGAGGACGGCTGCTTGCGTTGTGGCCGAAACATCGTGAGAATATTATTATATTATGTTTTATATGTTATTATTTCCCTTCTACGTGACTTTACCGAAAGAACCAAGAATATGAATCCCTGCAGTCACGAAAGCTTTAAATCTAAACTTGTACTTTCATCAACGTGTCTGTATATATTTTTTTTATCTATCGGGAAATATTGAATCACCGCCTCCTACATGTGGGCCTTTATTCTCACGATGACCAATATGTACAAGATCTAGATTGCCAGTGTTGAGGTCTGCTGCTGCTGCTGCTGCCTGCTGCTGGCCACGACGAGATGGCTTCAGCGAGAGAGAGAGAGAGTTCGTGTCGCTGTTCCTCCTGAAGGATCGCAGACCACCATGGGTTTACTCTGCGGTCTGTACTTTGGTTTGCATGGTCACAGTCGCATTCCCCTGGCTTTAACTCATCCGTACGAGTCTCTGTGCATCTCTATGAGTATTCATGTTTCTCTAGGCGTCTCTGCTGAGGGTTTATTAAATGATCCATAGTTTGGATCGCATGGGTCACAATCGTAAAGCTGTGGGTCGTGCCTTGAGTTTTTAATTAATGAAGGAGACGCATGCATCGGCTCACGCTTTAAAAAAAAAATGTATAAAACAATTCACCCCATGAGTGGCCTGGTAGCTACATTATCAGCTCAGGTAGGTGCGGCAATCGGGTCGGGTGGGGGTCCAATATTTGATTTGCGCAATTTTGCTGAAGCCAAAAGTTACTGCCCCAATGAAATTAAAACGTGGAACCGTAAACGAAAACATTTTCATTAAAAATATATATAAATTTAAACAGCGTTAAAAAAAAGAGATATTTTACACCGTTGTTGAAAACAAATCCCATGGTGGTTCTCTACGGGGGAGCCCCAACTCGTTGCTTTGATCACGGTGGGGGGGGGGGGGCAAGGCACCCCCCTGCCCCCCACGCTCGTTACGCGACTGATTCACTCCGTCTATTACTCCGTGACTACATCAACCACTCCACCCCCCCCCCCCCCGTCGTCTTCGCACCTGATAGGCTCACCAGTGACGACGTCACAATCACAATTACCCCCACCTTGATTTAAGACCGAAACAGGAGGAGGGGTTTATCCACAATTCTGGCTATCGCCTGATGCTGCTGCTTCAGCACACCGGCGTGCTGAACTAGTAACGAATTGTAAATGTCGTGGGTTTTTTACCCTCCAACACACAACCGGTGTGCTCAACTAGTAACGAATTGCCACGTTTTATTCACGTGACGAACTGCACTAATTGAACGTGCCGGGCGGTGGCGGATTTTAACGACGACATTTACATTTTGCGCGATCTAAAGCCAGCAAAAACCTCGATTGTGGATAAAATTGGTCGCGAAAGCCGAACGACTGCTCCGCGTCGAACTCACCCCGTGCCTCCTCTGTCTCGTCTCACCTCTCTCCAGCTTCCATTCGACCCCACCGCTCCCCCGCCCCACACCCACGATGCCTGCGACCTCTGAACCCGCGTGGCTGTCGCGGTGCCGGGTGCTGGCCCTGGCGCTGTCCCTGGTGCTGGCGGTGGGGCCGACGGGCCGTCCAGGGGTGGACTCCTGCTCCTGTGCCTCCAGCATGCACCCCCAGCAGGCGTTCTGCTCGGCAGATGTGGGTGAGCCAGCGAGCGAGCGTTGTCGTCGTCGGTGGTGGTGGTGGTGCAGGGGGCGGTAATGTGCAGCAAGTTGGCACAGTAGGGGGGTACAGCTGGTGGTGCTTCTACCGGTCATCGCAGTCAGCCAACCCATGGCACCTGCTGCGGCTGTCCCGAGACCTTCTGTCAGCGAGCCTTCGACCCTTCACGTGGCCTCAGAGTGCACCTGGCCTGGCACAGGTGGCGTGGTGGCGTCACGGTCACTTCGTGGCGAATGGCCGGGTGTTGGCGTTGGTAGGGGGGCGGCAGTGCGGCAGCGCTTACCGTAGCCGCGCTACCACACCCGGCGAACCGAGTTCGCGACTCCCGCTCACGGCCAACGCCGTTGACGATTACGTATCCACGACCGGTCCGGGGCGTCCCCTAGGTCGACTCAGCTTAAAAAAAATTAGTACCTGGTGCGGTGTGTAAATATCGCCACTTGGGGAGACGTGCAGCCAGGCGTGGTGCTGGCCACCCACCCCCTCGTGTGCCGTGTCGGCTTTCATAGGTGCTCGCTAACAGCACTTGCCCCAACAATCGGTTAAAGGCTATACGGGGGATCTTTGTCTTTGGTGTAGGGGAGCGGCTGGGCAGCGGTTCGCGCCGCTGCGCTACGACACCTGGCAAGCCGAGTTCGCGATTCCCTCTCGCGTCCAACACCAGTGAAGATTATCTGAACCGGTCCTGGGCCTCCCCTAGGTCGACTAAGCCTCAAATGAGTACCTGGTGTGGTGTGTAATAAACATCGCCACTGGGGAGACAAAGGCGGCCGGGCGTGGTGGTGGCCACCCACCCTCCTCGTGCGCCATGCCGGCCTTCATCGGCGCCGCTCGCTGGCAGCACTTGCCCCAACCGTCTGCTAAGGCAAAACGCGGGATCTTTGTCTTTGGTGGTTGAGGCCTCCATAGGCTGTTGGGGCAAGTGCTGTTAATGAGCACCTATGAAGGCCGGCACGGCGTACGATCACCAACACGCGCGGATGCCGTTGGTCTCCCGAGCGTCGATGCTTTACATACTCTGTCAGGTACTCACTTTGAGGCTGGTCCTACCTAGGGGAGATCCAGACCCGATTCAGATATCACTCTCCACTGCTGTCAGCCGCGGTTGTGAATTGAACTCGGCTCACCGTTGTCCACCACGCTAGAGCTTCCCTTCCTGAGTTACGACCTCACGGCACTTGTCCCAACAGTCTATGCGAGCTACATGGGGGATCTTTGTATTTGCCTTTTTGGGGGGTAGCAGGAGGTGAGTGCACGCACACACTTGTGGGTTGTTGTTGTTGCTGTTGAGGTGAACTGAGCTCAATTCCCGGTCACGGCTAACATCAGTGGCGAGTGATATCTCAACATTCCCTGGGCACTGCTGCTTCCCCCAATCCTCTCCCTCCCACCTTCCTCCACCAACCTGCACCGACCAGATTGGTGAAGTATGGTCAATCCCCACCACCCCCGCCCCGGTCACCCCCATGACTAACACGACAACATAGGGGCCTTCATCCGGCAGGGGATTGCCACGCATCTGTAAATGTCATTTTTTTTGCCAGTATCAAAGTACGACACAGCAAGAAGGGGCTCCACCCTTCGTGGCAATGAAACAGGAGGTGCGATAAGATGTTCAAACACCAAATAGAACCCTTTTGCACGGAATCAAGTCGCTGCATTAAGCACCCACGCGGTACTTGTGGTGAACATGCAAACAGAAGCATGCTCTGACAACATCTATGATATTCTTATAGGTGATGCATTGTCTTTGAAACTCATCGGCCTACACCAGAGACAGCAGACTTCTTTAGGGCCTAGCCTCACCACCAGTGTCATAGCCACCTTGGCGCGCTCGACGTGGAGGATGCTCGGCCATCTTGCATTGACATGCAAATTTTTACCTGGCAGCCCTTTGATTGGTGGAAAACCCACCAACGTCACGGTCGCCGCCCACCACTCACATTAACATAAGTTGCCACGCCCATGCTGCTGACACTTGGGCTACGCCCATTTTTAACCTTTATAAACAGTTTGCCTTTAGAAGCTAACTCCCCCTTTTCCTGATGACGACCGCTTGCGTTGCGATCGAAACGTCGTAGTTTTTTGTTATTTTCTTTGAACCTATCTCAGTGACTTTTCCGAAAGACCCAAAAAATAAAAAAATAAAAACCTATTCTTATTTTTTCAAAGTCTGTAAAATGTGTGAAGATTTACGTGCCACTGCATATGTCTGACCTGGAGAAACGCGTTGCGAAATTTCACTTGCGATTAACGGCGGGTCCTATTTTTTCACACTCGGAGGGCACAAGCGCCTGCAATTACTCGAATGAAGCGATCAGTTTAGCGATTCGTCTAATCCCATGTGCCAAGGCTGGATCTTTTGCCAACACCAGCATCAACCATCATCACCACCACCGTCATCCATAACCAGGTGCAGGTCGAGTCATATAAACAACAACAACAACATCATCATGGTCATCATCACGAGCATCGATCTATCCACTACTGGATGAAGGACTCCGCCCACGAACCGTCGCCATCTCGCCGCTGCGCCACGGTGGCTAGGAGATGTTAACTACCTCGCTTGGTGTGCAGGAGGTCGTGGGTTATATCCCGACCCTGACGCCTGCTGCTGTATATTTGGAGTTTACGTGTCTCTCTCTCTCATCATCATCACAGTGGCTAGGAGATGTTAACTACCTCGCCTGGTATACAGGAGGTCGTGGGTTATATCCCGACCCTGACGCCTGCTGCTGTATATTTGGAGTTTACGTGTCTCTCTCTCTCTCATCATCACAGTGGCTAGGAGATGTTAACTACCTCGCCTGGTATACAGGAGGTCATGGGTTCGATCCCGAACCCTGACGCCTGCTGCTGCTGTATATTTGGAGTTTGCGTGTCTCTCTCTTATCATCATCACGGTGGCTAGGAGATGTTAACTACCTCGCCTGGTATGCAGGAGGTCGTGAGTTCGATCCCGACCCTGACGCCTGCTGCTGTATATTTGGAGTTTGCATGTCTCTATCTCCCCGTGGTGGCCACGTGGATTTTTCTCCGGGTGCCCCAGTTTTGTCCCTCCACATTTACAATCAACATCAACACGCGTTTGTAGAGTATTTGGGCTGCTGTAAATTCCCACGTGATAATAAGTCGCCGCTTCGGTGAGCTGTGATTTGTGGCCAGGTCGCTTCTGGTAAAAGCGCCATGCAGGGTGCTTCAAAAAGATGTTAACACTGCCGAGAATCTGCAACGGCGCCACAAGAAATGTGCCCGCCTCCTCAGGGCTCTGGAGACCACCTGGATAAGATTCCAGGCCACGCGTTGACAACGATGGCGAACAAGTGGAGAGACTCTTTGACTTTTTTGAAGCAACGAAAATTGCGTTTCTTATCATGTTAAGAGTGCATTCATTCTTATCCCTTTATTTGCAATAGTCCCGTGTAAGTGTTTACATTTTTTTGAAGCAGCCGGTATAAGCTCATTGGGGCATTACCTGGTGCTAAGAATGAAAAAAATAAAATAGTTATACGTCATAGATTGAGTCGCTCCATCTCCGCGGATGACGTACTCTTCCCGGGAAGTGTTCCCTTCTTTTTGGCTGTTGCCGCAACGTCAGTCTGCCCCCCACCCCCGCCACGCCACCAATCTTCCCTCGTTCGTCTGTAAAACACGACACCATCATTATTGCCAGTTGACTCCGGCCTAAAAAAAAAAATCACTCGATTTTAAATCACTTTTGGAATGTTCTCCGAAGAACGGGACAATCCCGATGAGCTACAAACCACTCGAAGCTTCTCATTGGGGAGGGGGGGGGGGGCGGGCACATCGCTCGGTTTAAACTCACTTTGGAATGTTCTCCGAAGAGCGGGACATTGCCGATGGGCTACAAACGATATCAGAAAAGGGTCTTACCCATTGGGTGGGCCAATTCTTTGACTCGCGGGCCACAAAGGGTTCTAAAATTTGACAGAGGGGCCGGGCCAGGAAGCAGATGGACGGAGTGTTTGCGTAAACTAAATATAAATGGCGTGTAAAAATCATTACATGAAAGGATTTGGCCTTTAACAGGTAGCAAGGCATTTATTTATTAGCAAGGCAATTTAACAAATTGCACGAACACGAACGATACAAAAACATGTCGTAACGTGACTGATCAAACATCATGGTAACATCCGAGGTCTGCGCCCAAACCAATTACCACACTCCCGGTCAAAGTGCGCCATCTAATGGGGAAATGGGGGCATTACAGGAGAAAGGTAAAATTTAATTTAATTTAATAATAATAATAATATTTGGACAAGTTCGGCTGGCCGGATTAAAAAGCCCAACGGGCCGTATATGGCCCCGGGGCCGTACTTTGCCCATGTCTGGACTTACCCCTTCTGGCCGTATTAAAACACTTGTGTGAAGATGTTAAAACACCAAACAGAAACATTTCGATGCCGCTGCTCACCCCGAGCCCTCAATGTCCTCACAGTGGCGTTGTCTTTGTGCTGCGTACGCCTTTTGGCGTCCTCTGGTCTAACGCCGTTTGAGACTAGGCTCTAAAGAAAGCCGTCACTCTGGTGTGGACCAATCAGTTTCAAAGACAATGCATCATCGTATGCTACCAGAGCGTGTTTTTTTTTTAGTTTGCCTGTTTACCGCAAGTATCTGTGTTTAATGCGAACATGACTCCTTGCAAAATGTTTCTGTTTGGTGTTTTAACATCTGAACACAACAGTTTTATTATGGCCAGAATTGGGTAAAATCTATTGTTATATTTTGATACTGGCAAGGGAGGTCCCATGAAGCTACAAACCACACGGAGCATCTTCACGGGAGGGGGGCGGGGGGCACATCCAGGGCGATGACATCAAAAGTGACGTCTCAGGAGGAAACGCGGTGGGTTTTTCTGTTTCGCAACGCGGCGTTTGGGGCCTGAGCAATTCGAAAAGGGGGTTGGGGAAGGAAACGACTTTCAAAACCGGCTGCTTATTTAAGGCCGAGTCCACCTAG